CTGGAAGGTAGAGGAGTTCCCTTTACAAGGACGGGTGGGTTTCAGATACCAGGGGTGGGTGAGGTGTTCAGCCTAACAGAATCCGGATTTGGGATATTGGTTCAGGGTCTACATAGAGGGATTAAAAGGAATCTGATGCGATTTCTATTGTCGGGACTGTCGGGTGTTCATAGAGCGCCATCGTCTTCATAGTGTGGGGATTGCGTAGGGCTTACTTGCGTAAGGTCCTACAATGACAGGACAGGTGGGAATTTTGTGTAATTTCCATCATCATACATGTGCGTATATGCATGTGTGAAGTTTATGTTTCTTCTTCGTTGCTGTTTCCAACATCGGTGCTTCGCTGCACATGCCTCCGTAGCAGCAGCAGGTTTGTGTGGGGCTGCAAAGGTTCAGGTAGGAATTATGTGGAGGTTCTCTGCAGGTCACAAGCGGCAGGAGCATTCTTGGGAAATACCATTTCGATAGTCCTAAACCCTAGACCCTATCAATTACATCCAACACCGCGAGCAGATCCAAGTGCAGCCTCATCGTTCTGCAGTTTAAACATGTCAGGCATTACCCTCGGGATCCAAGTATACAAATGAACCAAAAATAACAGAATCAAATGAACAATGAAATGGAAACTGGTGTTATAAAGGGACTATATAGGGATCCAAGTCTACACATAATGCCTACATTGGGCCCTAATGTCTGTAAAAATTATTTATGTTGGGCTATTTGGGTCCCTATACACCACTTTAAACTCCTAGTTTCTATTTCATGTTCCATTTGCTTTTCCATCGGACGATCTGGATCCCCAGGGTTAGGTGAGCAGGGATATCTTTGGCCACCCATGAACCAACTCCAAACCCTAAGCCCAGAGCGGTGTATGTAAATAGCGTTCCAGCTTTTCCCGAAGTACGGTTTAGGGTTTGGGGTTTAACCTTTCAACCCTCTACCCTAAACCCTAGACCCCAGTGCAAACTCCCTATCCGCAAAGCCCTAAACTCTAAGATCTGAGCGTAACATTTGGGTTTAGGGTTTAGGGTTTAGGTTTTAGGTCCGAAAGCCCTAATACGCACAAGAACCTACGGGTCCAGGTTCTCGCATGAGGGTGCTGTAGGCCCCAAATGAGTTATAGTCTAAACTCCTTAAAGGGGGGGGATATAGGGGAGTAACATAGGATTTAGTAAGGGGGATACTAGGAGTTTTCTCTTTAGCTCACATAGTGTAATCTCAAAGGTTAGAATCTGAACCACACTGCCTTTAGTATCTATAGGGGCCTCCAAAATAGTTGTTAATTTTTTGGTTACCATAATCCCAATAACAACCAAAATATATGATTTTTACTGGGATTCTTAGGCCAGTTTAGGTTTGGCTATTTGGACCCTAAACCCTAAACCCTAAACCCTAAAAACCCTAAAACCTAAACCCTAAACCCGAAACCCTAAAAACCTAAACCCTAAAACCTAAACCCTAAACCCTAAACCCTTTAAAGGAAGTTGTTCTGCACCTGCGAGGCTATGGACAACCGCAGCAAGGAAGAACGCGATGCCCGGGCCTTGCAAAGTAGGCTTAGGCATATGAGCTATAGGGTTTAGGGTTTAGGGTTTAGGGTTTGGGGTTTAAACTCCTTAAAGGGGGATTATATAGGGATTATATAGGGGACTACTATAGGGGTTATTAAGGGGGATACTAGGAGTTTAGACTATAGCTCATATGGCAAAAGGGGGGGGTGATGTATATACTTAGTTGGTGTTGTTTAGGGGTTATGAAGGATATATATATATATGTATGTGTATATATACATGTATATGTATATATTTATGTATATATTTTAGGGACAGTACTTCAGCACCGGAGATTCATTGGATTAAATGGAAAGAATACGGCAATGACGCGGAAAGTGGGATCACGTAGTGACACCAGGTACACCTAGTCCCAGCCATTTAACCAACGGTCTTGAGTATTGCGAAACGCGGTATGTTTACCAGGGGGACACTTGGAGCCTTTCCGCTCTAGAGGGCCACATCAAGAAGTTATCTTATCCTTGAGCTTTCTTTGGTCCAGTGGAGGTCGTGTTCTTTGGAAAGTTGGTGCGTGGCTCTTAGTCCAAATACATTGGCTCTAGATTTTAGATCCGCCCCCCTCCTGTTCAGGCACTCTGCAGGAATTCGTCCAAGCACTTGACCTGTCGGGGACGATTCTCAATGCCTTGGGGATGTGTCCGTTCGTCCCACCTTCTGGGAACGACTCTTTGTCCAAATGGTAGTTTCCCAAATTCGGGGGACCCCAATGTAGGCCGCCAAAAACCTATATTTCTTCATATTGAGACCTCCCAGATGGTTTCTAATTTTGGGAGACCTCCAAAAGTCCACGTCCGCACGACCTGCAGGGCACGGCGCATGTTCGGGAGTTGATCACAAGCTTTCCCTAGGGATCCAGATAGCCCAATTACGGTTTCAGGTTTGGGCTTCTATCCTAGGCAGCCAAATAGTCCAATTAGGTACCCTAGAAATCCCAATAGCCCAATGTATTAACCAGCAGGTTGACAAGTGGGGAGTATCGGGATTCAAATACCCCAATGTAGCTAACATTTATCGACTTCAGGGCCCCGTGTAGGTAATGTCTGTATACTTGGATTGCGGATTACGGATGGCATGCCAATATGAGCTATACTGGACTTATTGGGGTTATTAAGAGGGATACTAGGAGTTTAGACTGTAGCTATATAGCATTATAGTGTGTATAGCCTTTTGAGCTGCCTTGTCTTGGAAGACCGCTAGGTTTATCCGAGGGCGCTCGTGCAAAGCCAAAGCTATCCGAAATTCTTCTCACACCTCAGTTACACTGTTTTTCCGCAAGATAAGGATAGTAGTATTCGAGGGTCTATGTGGGGGTCCCTCTCTTTATGGAATCCCTCGCATACCGTCCTTAGGTGGACAAGGAGGTAAACTGGGTGGCTACATAGGTTTGGCTTGAAATCCTAGCCCTTAAAGCACTAGTTCCCTGATTGTTCCTGGAGGACTAGAACTCGAAAGTGCTTCCGGATTTAGCACACACATTCTGGTTGCGTCTTCCATTTCAAGGTGCATCGAGGTAAGCTTTGTAGGCTTTAAACCCTGCAACCCCCGCCCCGCCCCCTGTCCGGAATTAAAAGAAATAAAATGATTACCTGGACCCCCAAAAGTACGCAAAATCATGGCCTTTGTGGGTGTTCTTATGGATTTAGGGATATTATTTCACATACTTTTGGAGTTTAAGTAGCACCTCAGCCATTGCTAAGGACAGGGGGCGGGGTACCTCCCTTGCACATGACCCCGAGAAGGCAATGTGTTTTGGGGTTGCAAGGGAGACATTTAAAGGTTTTCTGAGTTTAGGGTTTATAATCCCCCTTAAGTAGATAGAATATAGCTTGGGGTATATTATTGTAAGATCCCCATATATCCCACATTCTATCTACTTAAGGGTGACTATAGGGCTTAGGGTTTAGGGTGCGTGCAGGTTAGGATTGCACTTGTCATGGAATGTAAAACCCCAGTATATGTCGTCTTCAGGGTCCAGCAGTTGGGAATCACCGAGATGTCTGTATAATATGAACTCTAGTCTAAATTCCTGAAATGTTGTTTATATAGGCGATTATATAGGGGACCATAATAGGGCTCATTAAGGGGGATACTACAGCTCATATTGGGTTCCCAGGAGAGTTTAAGACATTATTCAGCTGGGCAATATTGAGCTGCTAGTGCCTATAGGGCTTAGGGTTTAACATCCCGACTCCATCTCAGCAAGGGGGCCAGACAAGGATGTTTGATTATTGAAACTTACTTTACGTTCTTTAATAGCATTCCAGAAAACTTGTGCCACTTGGGGCAGCCGTTGCGTTGGCAGCCCTCAAGTTGTGACGGTCTTTAGGCTGTAGGGCTTCGGACGGGTCAGGGGGGTCCATAAACTGCAGAGTCCAAAAATGGCGGGCTAAACCCATGAGCCCCAATCCTTACACCGAAAAGAATGGCCCCAGACCCCCGGCACAGCTTTGTATCCACCTCATGTACATGAGTTAAGTACTACAATATGGTAGTTTCCTCCCAAAATGAGGGGACCCCAATATAAACACCCAATATACTACAATCCTTATTTTGGGGAACAAGAAGGTACCCCTAAATTGGGGAAGCACCCCATATCTAGTCAGTATACGGCTGGATGTACATCATGCCCCCCTCTTCCTCGTAACGCCCAGCCCCAAACCCATGATCAAACAAGAAATATACTAAGCGGTTTAGGGTTTAGGGTTTAGGGTTCAGTATACTACATACGTTTGGGGTCCAGGTAGACCAAGACTTCCCACGCCCCAATTAAAATCCCTATCTAATGCTGCGACCTTCAACCCTTAAACTTAACACCTAAACCTTAAACCCCGGCCAGAAGCTTTCACAACCCTATAAACTCTAAGCCTTCGAGCCTCAACCCTAAACTCTGCAAGCCTGAAACTCTAAGTCTTCAAGCCTTAGGGGATCTTAGCCCTCAAGCTTTATTGCCGCAAACTTTTGGGGTTTGGAGTTTAGGGTTTGGGGCAACACAAGTACCCAATAATCGTAGACTTTCCCCCGAACCTGTACCACAAGTGACGTTACCTAAATCCCAAGGAGTCCCTCATTGGGTACATGGAAATTCTTAGGTTACATTGCATATTAGGCATAAAAAAACTCCTGTAAACCCAGTGCCCCTTTCATGTTACATTTCCATGTGTTTCTCCACTATCGGGGTAAGCATCCCGAAGCCCAAGCCCGAAAACAAGCCGTAATCCTAGGCCTTCAATAAATACTACGATATCCTCTTGCACACCCCTTAAGCCCTGAACCCTAAACCCGTAACCCTAAACCCTAATCCCTCTAATCCTTAAACCCAAAACCTTAATCCCTCTGAGCCTCAAACCCTAAACTCTAATCCCCCTGAGCCTTAAACCCTAAACCCTAAAAATCCCAACATGTGCGTATCTTTTGAAACCCAGCTTCAAGGCCGCCGAGAAGGAGGCTCTTGAGGCCGCCTTTGAACAGGCGCTGGGGTAAGGTTATATTAGGGGTTATATTGGGATAATGGCTTTAGGGTTTAGAGTTTAGGGGTTTAGGATTTAGGGTTCAGAGAGTTTAGGGTTTAGGGGTAGGGAGGGTGAGGTTGGATGTGCCCAAAGGGTGCATTTAAAAACCTGTAGCCCCTATTGTTAATCTTGTCTCTATGTTCTCTCTATCACGCTCTCGCTCTCTCTCTCTCTCTCTCTCTTTTTGAGGGTTTATGCAGGTAGTATATACTCAGGGGTTCCTACACAACTACTCTTGGGCTCAAAAAGTACCAAATAGCCGCATGGACACTTTGGGGGGGGTCCGAAGTCCATGTTCATGGATCTACAAAAGAATGTGCAGGTCGTTTACATGGTTCGTTTTCAGGGATGAGGGTGCAGGGGCCTGTCACTTATTTGACAAGGGCAAGGACGGTGAGGTTGACGTGGGGATTCTGGTTTAGGCTAGGGGTTGAGGTTTCAAGGGATACAGGAATTTGGGATTAAGGTTCAGGCTTGGGCTTTGGGGTGCTTGAGATTGAAGGGGTTTTGAGGAACTTGGTGAAAGGGTCGGGGTCGAATTTCGAGAGTCGGGGATAGTTATCAATGAAAGATTACGTCCTCGAAGCTTAGGCTGTCAACATCATCATCCTAGCTGTGACCTCCTGATGGACAGCCCAGGAAGCTTCAAGTGAGGTATGCCTAAGCTGTTAGTTCAGCGGACCTTTCCCACAAGCTTTTCGAATCCATCATGTCGAAGCGAGATTCAGGCAGGCCCGCTCCTTTGGACAAAGGTGTAGACTCAAATGGGCTGAGTTACAGCTTTATCAAACATGCCTGTCTGTATGTCTATATATGTATATATAGATATAGATATAGATATATACGCACATGTGTCTAGTCGCATGGGTGTGGCACATTTCAGATATTTTTCTTTGAATATACATATGCATATATATATATATTCTTTGAGCATATATACATAGATATGTACACATACATGCCAGCTATGTTTGAGGTATTGGGCCCTTGGGGTATTTTGGACCTGATTTCAAAGTCCATGCTTGCTTTCCCTCCGCAGGGTTTGGGGTGTAGGAGTTCGGAGTTGAGGAGTTTAGGAGTTTGGGGTTTAGGGTTTTAGGGTCGAGGAGTTAAGGATTTCAGGGTTGAGGACCTTAGGGTTTAGGAGTTTAGGGCTTAGGGTTTAGCAGTTTAGGGTTTATGGTTTAGGGGTTCCGGGCTTAGGAATTAGTAATGTTGGTGGCCTGGGTAGGAGTCCTCAAAATCAGCGGACGGTACCGCATGTATGTCATACATATATGTGGATGGACGGGTTTAGGGTTTAGGGTTTAGGGTCATGATGCAGTGAGCTGTCAAAGTCTATGAGCTGCACCCAGACTCGTCTTCCCTGGACGACCAATTACCTACACATTGGATACTGCTTCCCAGTCCATATTGCTTATGGCCACGTAGCACTCATTCGACTAGTTCGTTTTTCAAGCCCTGCAAGCCCACACCCTTCATCCTATTCCCTATACCATGACCCAGCCTAGAGGCTGCCCCCAGTCACATCCCCAACCCGTAGCCCCAGACCCTTAGTATCCTAACCGGAATCTCTACAGCCTACTGAGAACCTACTACGTACTTACTGGGGATTAGTAAGGAATAAGGAAATACAATCCCTATATGTAATCCCAACATAGTATATTCCCTTATGCCCTACCAACACCCAGGAAGCCTAGGTAAATGGGCTTCAGTGGACTGTCTGCTTGTCTTTCAGTCCCCTTTCATTTTCGAGCACCCTTGAAGCCACTCAGCAGATCTGCAGAGGTCTAGGGTTGGGGGTTTGGAGCTTCAGAGGTTTGATTGCCTTCTGCAACCGTAACAACCCTGAATGAGAGCCAATTTGGACATGTCTCCTCCCGACCCTGCAGAGCAGCCCAGAACCCTGTACCTCAAAAGCCCAAAGGCGGTTCGGAGCTTCGTGTTCTCACCACAACAAGCCCAAAGCTTAAAATACGTAAGCCCTAAACCCTGAACCCTAAACCCTATCAACCTTAAGCCCTTAACCCTGCACCCTATAAACCTTATAAGCCCTAAACCCCAGGAAGCCGAAACCTTACAAACCCTGAACCCCTTGTGTTCCTTGAAGGCGATGAAGGCGCAAGGGCAACCCATTCCCACACCACCGCCGCAGCCACAGCAGCCACCGCAGCCGCAGCAAGGAGAGGACTTCAGGCGCATTTGTATATATGTTTAGGGTTTAGGGCTTAAGGGTATAGGTAGATATGTATGATTTATGCAGATTGTTGTATATATGTTTAGTATCTTGGGGGGATTATAGGCTTGAGGGTTAGGGGTTTCGGGGTTCAGTGTTTGGGGTTCGCTACAAACCGTAGTTCATCTCCGTCACCCATTGAAGCAAAACATCTTTTGCCTCCAGTCCCCCGGGTTTAGGGTTTAGGGTTCATGGTCTGTTTGGTTCCTTCAGAAACATCCCTTTCGTCAGGAGCTCATCCCATTTTTGGGGTGTAGTTCATGTGTGAAGGGGTCGCGGAGTTAGCCAAGTCTCCAGATCCATTGAGATGTTTGACATGCCCCAGCCCGGGGCCGTTTTCTTCGTAACACTATCCCCTAAAGCCTAAGCCCCTGACCCTAGACCCTGAATCACAAAGCCCCAGGTAGATTCTGCTTTGGGCTCCGCTGCCTGTACAGCTTCCCAAGCTCCAACCTAAAGGGTCCATTGATGGGTTGAGGGTTTGGAGTTCAGGACTTGAGGTTTAGGGTTAATCAGGAGAGGTATTTAGCACAAAGCAATAGATATATATATATATACATACCCTAGAAGCCCAGTTACCTATAAATTGGGTTCCTGTCCTTGGGTCCCCATATAAGCTTATACTACCTATAACCCAAGAACCTACTATATGGGTACCTGGCCAGGGGTATATATATATATATATGTTTCATGTCTTTTACCCGGCTGGCCTCACAAGGCAATCCGTTCGGGTCTTCTCCTTCACGGGCGGCGCAGCGGATCCGGCGGCAGGGCAGAACGCAGCTCGAGGGCAGGCGCAGGGAGCCTGCGAATTATGTTAATGGTGATGTAGTTACACAGTATGTACTTAGACTGGTTAGGGCGTAGGATTTCGAGTTCGGGGTTTGGTAGGGTTTTCATTGGTTAGGGTGTACCGGTGTAACTCCCAAATATCGATGATCATGGCGCTTAACCTCTAAGTAGTGGGTATATGAGTGATTATTATGGATAGTTGGGAGGTCCAGGTAAGGTTTAGTGATTACTGGGGCTGAGTACTGAAAGGTGTCAGGTGTTGAGGATTACAGCATCTAGGGATTGCTTTTCAGGTTGAGGATTTCTGGATTCTAGGATATAGGGACCTAGTACGTAGGGTTCGACGTCTACGGATTCTAGGCTAGCAGTGTGTGGTACTCAAAGAGTTCAAGGTTCGAGGATTACGGGACTCGAGGATTTTGGGCGCTTGGGGTTTACTCGTACCCACAAAACATGTAGAATACTGCCTTATTGGGCTTTGCTTCATGGATTTTATATGTTTCTGAGGTCAGGGGAGGGAGTTAGATTTCAGAGGTTGGGGCTTAGGGCTTCTTGCATTGGGTTCAGGGATTGGGGTCAGGGTTCAGGGTTAAGCGTCTAGAGAAGGCTTTAGAGGAAGCATCAAGAAGTTTATTCTTGAGAACATATGGGTGTCTCGCAGTTTCAGATGACCATACTGTATTGGGACACATTACTGCCCCTTAGTTCTGGACACTCTCATGCGCGGACAGCAAGTAGTTGCCCAATGTAGGATCCATGGTTGAATTGCAACCTTACAATACAGGGGTGTACTTCATAGGTGCCCCTAAACCCTAAACCCTAACCCTAAATGGAGGAGAAGGTAGCAAGCATTATCAAGGTTCATTTGGTGTACAAGAGGGGAGAGATAGATTGGATACCTTGAGGTGTAGCCTTTTTATGCCAGTCTTCACCTTTCTCCGAACTATAGGCTTGAAGGAACAGAATTGTCTACGAAGTAAAGATGCGTTGGTTTTTGTTTCAGCGCGCTCTGAGGTTAGGGCACTGGGTTGAAAGGTTCGGGGCTTTTGTGGGCTAGGTGGTGCGGGGTCTAAAGGATATGGGTCCCTATCATGAAGCCTATTCCCATCCTTTAGGGTTTTAGGTTTGCATCGTGTTGTTGTTGTGATTCTGACCAATTTAAAGCGAGGTCACCCGCGCTCACCCGAAAATAGTGGAGATAGCGACCCGACCTGAAACTGAAATTGACTGACGACCTAAACCCTTAATTTCGTGGGCTTGGTTTGGTGCAACCTGCATACGACCTCCGCAAAGCGTCGCCCAACAGCTTCCAGTTGTTTTTGAGAAAGACCTGCCAGGGTAGCAAGGAAGGGGCACAGCAGTGGCGGGCAATGGCCCCACAGGACAAGCTAGCCCGAAACCCTAAACCCTAAACCCTAAACCCTAAATTACAAGAGCGAGACCCACGAGTTGCTCTCGTAGCACAAAACCCAGAGGTTGGAGCGAAAGAAAGCCAGGAACCAGACCTCGGACTTGTAAATTGCAGACCAAGCCGTGCCGGCCGTCCTTTTTCCACAAAAAGGGTGAGAAAAATGTGCTCGTGAAGACGTCCCGGACCACGATGCCGCTGTTGGCTTCCACTGCTCCGACTGCGGAGTCGCGTTTGTCAGATTGTCATGTTGGTTCATGGTTTGTACAGTTTGTTGTGACTGGCAATCAGCCAAAGAGCAAATTGAATTGCGCTTTGGAGTGTAAGTTTTGAACTTATGAAGGCTTAGTTTGGCCGGGGATATCAGGGAATTTGTTTTAACGTTCAGGGCTTTAGCAGGTACAGGTGTTGTCAGGTGTGTTTTGGGAGCTGGCCCAGAAACCTGCAACCCTTCTGAGAAGCTACGTCATAAGCTGGGATCGCTCAATACTACGCTCGAAAGTACATCCACACTCCCCTAGAAGCCCAGTTACCTACATATTGGGTTCCTGTCCTTGGGTCTCTTCATAAACTTATACTACCTATAACCTAAGAACCTACTATATTGGTACCTGGGCTTCTAGGGCTCCGTACACCTCATGGAAGTCGTGTGGACAAGTTGCACAACGTCGGCCCTAGAGGATATCGTCCATCAACAAAACCCTTAGGGTCCAAGGACCCAAATAATAGGGTCCCTTTAAAGGGGTTCTAGGGGGCTATATAAGGATATATGGGGACTATATAAGGGTCCAAGGACCCAAATAATAGGGCGCAAATACCATTAGTAATAGAATATGTGGGCCCTAAAACCCCATCATTTGGGTCCTTGGACCCTTAAAGAATATGGGAGACTACCCTCAGAATCAACGACCTGCTGAAGCCCCAGACCTTGAGTTCGAGACCGACATTGACATGTATGGTTCGGAGTGAAGGGCTTTTGGTTTTGGATTCAGGGCTTTTATTGAGAGTTTAGGGCTTTGGATTCAGAATTTAGGGCTTTAGTTTTGGATGCAGGGTTTAGGGTTAAGGTTTAAGAGGTGGTGTCATAGGTTGTTGTCATGTTTAGTAGTGCAATCGTCCTCTCTATCTGGCCACTGACTGGATTATTATGAACTTTCGGCATCAAAGGTTCATGGTTCGGCTATCAAGCCCATATGAGCTAGAGTCTGAACTCCTTAGAGGGGGGTTATATAGGGGATTATATAAGGGACTACTATAGGGGTTATTAAGGGGGATACTAGGAGTTTAGATTATAGCTCATATGGAGCCAACACGACCTTGCTTCAAGTTTAGACTTACTCTGGTCCCATCACTAGCCCAATATGAATTGCTTCGTTGAATTTGTCTTAGGGTCAGTGCAAGGTTGTGCGTTGTAAGGTGAGGATGTGGGGGAGGTGGCCGGGACTTTTTTGGAAGCACCCTAAACCCTAAACCCTAAATAACTAGTAGTTTCTATTCTATTTTCCATTATTCCTACATAAACCCCATATAACCCAAAACATCCTTTCGACAACTTTGCAAATCCTGGCTTTGCACGCCAGGCCCCTCAACTCGAATCGCAGACGTTTATTTGGACTTGTAAACCTCGGTCCCAAACTTAATGGTCCTTTGTAGGGAATAAGAGAATAGATTATATAGGGATTATATGATCTAAACTCCTAGTTTGCCCCTTAGTATCCCCTATAGTAGTCAATCCCCAATATAACCCCCTTTAAGAAGGTTAGAGGATAGCTCATACAGGGATAATATTCCCTTAGTCCCAACTAAGATCCCGTACGTAACCCAGCAACCACGGGCAGGAGATAGATGAAGTCGAAGCGGCATCTCCTGCTTTTGGTCGGCCGATGACGCAGCCGGCTGCTTGTCTAGGGTTTATGGGAGCTGTGAGGAAACCACGCCTGTATCCCAAAAGCAGGTAAAACGGGGGAAGCAAAGCCAGAAAGGAGCCAAATAAAGCGGGACAAAACCCTACCCCGAAGTGGGCCAAATGCTGGCCCCAAACCCATAAAAGGAGTTACGACACGATTCTACATGCTCTTCGGGTCCAGGTATACAATCATGGATCATCAACTGGAGGACAGCAGGCCCTTCCTCCTTTTTTGGGCCGTACAAGAGAAGTGTTTTGATGCTAAAAACAAGGACCTTCATTTGTGACAGCGTGTTCCCAGTCAGTCTTCTTTGGGGTTGGAGCCTTGGAGGCGCATCAGCATGCAATTGATCGAAGAAGTAATGAGGGATGATTTGGGATCATACACTGCTTGACTGCGTAACGTGTGTTTTGGTCGCATAACCCTAAACCCTCCTTGTCAGGGTTCTGTCGGACCTGAATCTGCAGCCTTTGAGGTTTTTGAGTTTGTTCAGTCTCCTACATTTTGCATACCTGCCGGGAACAGTGGAGATTCTAACAAGGTCCTAAACCCTAAGCTTGAAACTCGATAAGCCGGGAACCTAAGCCCCAAACCCTCAACTCTAAGCCCCAAACTTTGAATCTTAAATCCCTACGCCCCAAACCCTACGCCCTAAGCCCTAAGCCCCAAATCGTAAACCAAAGCCCCAAACCTCAAGCCCATGCAAGCCATGGCTCAGCTGTTGCAGTAGCTACGTTGTATCACGTGCGGTATAGAAGGAAACGGAGAGAGAATGGAATATGACATGGAAAGCTGAGATGATATATACTTGGATTTCGATATCCTTAATTGGGTTTATAGGGCGCGTAATGGGTACTTCGGCCTAGGCTGAGGGTAGTTGGAGGGTCTAGGTGCTGGTTCAAGAGCGAATTCTGGCAAGCATTGTCCACGTGACCGCAGTGTGCGTACATAACGCTCCAAGTGTTTCCGGGGCTTCGGTGCATGCACGTTACTTGCATTTGGTGGCTGCTTCATGCTTGGGAATTTCTCGCACGGGGAAGTACTTCTGGTTTTGATGTGAATTATAGCCTTGCTTGGTGCACTCCCTGTCCTTAGCCTAGCATTCAAGCCCACAGATCTTCAAGGAAGCCAACTTTGTGTGGCTGATGTGAGAATCACACGGCGATTTGCATTTCTACCACCCGAAATGTTTGCTTTCCAACTCCCATCTCTCTTGGGCATATCTGTTTGACCCGACTTTGGAGACAGACCCCTGTAGCCCATCACAAACAAGAAAGAACTTGTAGTGGCACTGCAAGACAAGCGGGTTCTGGATGCTTTCTGGTACCCCCGTACCCAAAGGGTACTGGAAGTCACGATGTGTCTGTCACTTGGAGAAGGGCCAAGACTTTCAGTTAGTATTCAGCACCGTTCTAGTAGCCTTTATAGGGCCCTCATAATTAGTGGGAACTTCGGCCCAAGTAGGGGGTCTAGGAGTATACCTCAGCGCCTAAATTTCACGCCTGAACGCGAATCCCTCCTACCCAAAACCCTAAACCCCCAACCTGAATTTTCCTAGCCCAAAGCAAACCTACACCCCAAGCACGAGGCTACAGCGCAGTCAATGGCGCAGCCAATGACGCAGCCGATGATGCAGCCTGCCACACAGTCTATCTCGCAGCAACTGGGACTTCTTGAAATGAGGTACTGTCAATAGCAGGGTTGCTAGGTGACCATCGATTAAGAGTGGACATAGGTGCCCTCTTGGTAGTTTGGTGTAATCATTAATATACCCTAACAGGAACCCATGGCCACTAATTAGTTGAAGGGACATACTGACTGGCCTAAATGAGCTATAGTCTAAACTCCTTAAGGGGGGTTATATAGTGCAATATATAGGGGACTACTATAGGGGCTATTAAGGGGGATACTAGGAGTTTAGACTATAGGTCAAATGGAGTCTGGGGCTTAGGTTGCAGGAGTGTAGGGCTTCAAGTGGCTAAACAGAAAATGCTCAGGCTTGCCATCATACCTGGACCTCCGCCGTAGCGTTCAAGCTTTCAGGGTTTAGGGACCCCGAACATGGAGAAATCTCGGCCCAGGACCCATAAAAAGAGCCAAGGATTCCATTATTCTACAGACCTTCGGGAGTTTCGAACTCAGGGATGTATACATCCTATAGAGATCCTCTCAAGCCTTGTGGCCTGTGACTCACGGTGAGATCCTACACTGCGTGAATTGAAACATTACCAATCCCTGAATCCCAACAAGTATGTAAAATAGTGGCATTTTGACTTTAGGTAGGGGTTGGGGGCATTATCTCGCATACCTTTGGTGGTCCAGGTATAGCGCGAGGTTTTGTCCCTGATGAGAGCGCCCCTGAAACTGTTAATTCTCTGACCCCACGTTTCAATAAACTGGGTTGCTGTTAAGGAACTTAAATTAAGTTACCATAATGGGTCTGTATATCGTATATATCGTAGATAGTAGGGTTTCCCTCAATATGGTAGTTTCCCTAAATAGGGGGAACCCAATATAGACCCCAAAATACTATAGTCCTTATTATAGGGACCCCCAAAATGGTACCCATAATTAGTTAGCAATGACCATTTCCATTTTCTAACCATGCCCACCCCCCTATGCCACCCGAAGACCCAAAACCATAACAACCTATAC